GGGAGGGGGCACAGGCCGGAGCACGGCGGGTCGGAGCCAAGGAGGGGCCGCCATCCTGCGCATACAACCTCTAGTGAGAGCACACCGCCGCCGGAGCTGCCGCCTCCAGCCCCGCAGTCGGCGGCCACAGGCAGCCCTGCCCACCTCTCCGGCAGTAGGCTGAGCATCTGTGGGTCTGTGTGCAGCGGCGCCTGCTGCTTGGACCGTGCAAAGGCGGCGGCCTTGAGCAGCGCCCCCGCCAGACGCGTGTGCTTCACAGGCTTGCTGCACAAGGGCGGAGGGGGGAGGGCGGGGAGGGCGCGCAGGTGAGGCAGGGCCCAGCGCAGGTGAGCCAGGACCCAGCACCCCCACAGCCGGCTGCCGCGGCCCGGGTGCTGCCGCGGCCCGGGGCACAGAGTGTGCCCGGCGCAGGCGTGCCACAAGCCCCCGCCCCCGCCAGCAGACAGCCAGCCCAGGCAGGGTGCAGCCAGGCCGGCAGGCAGGCCGCACACCTGACGGTGGTAGCCATGGCCTGCAGGTTGAGGGGCAGCTCCTCGCGCCGCCCCAGCACCACCAGCGGCTGGCCGCGCCAGCCGGCGCGCACCGCTGCAGCGCAGGCAGGCAGGGCGGGGCGGAGGGGGCTTGTCGGTGAGACCATCAGAGGGCGGGGCATGCAGCGACGATACCGGGCCAGTGAGCTAATCAGCGGAAGCAGGTGCAGGCAGAGGCGGCGCGGGCTGCGGCTGCCAGCAGGCCAGGCCGCTGTGCCCCCTTCCACCGCCGCCTCACCCTCCAGCGCCTTGTCTGGTGTGGTGATGCAAAAGTCGCGAGGCGTGGGCGCGGCGCCCGCCTGCGCCTCTGCCGGCGGCGAGGCGCACGGCCCCAGCTCCACTTCCATCCCCAGAAGGCTGCAGCTCTGGGCCACCTGCAGAGCAGGGTGGGGCCGCCACGGCACGGCAGTCGGCAGTCGGCGGCAGGACAACAGGGGTGGCACGGCAGGGAGGGAGGGCCCCCGGCAGCGAGCGCTAGGCAGCAGGATGAACAGCTGCAGGCGGCTGGTGGCGCCGGCCAAGCAGCGGCGGCCAGGGGCCGGCCCGGCCCGGCGGCAGCGCTGCGCGCACCTGCTGCGCGGTGGGCCCATGCGCCACATCGATGCGAACATGGCGGCCCCGCAGCGGCGCCGCGGCCTCGCCGCCGCCGCCGCCGCCGAGTGGGTGGGCTGGTCCGCGGGGCGACGACGCGAATGCTGCGCCGCCGGCGGTTGCTGCGGCCGCCGCCGGCTGCCCGGGCCGGCCAGCCGGCGGCGCCGAGGCGGTGCTTGCCCCGCAGTCGGCGCTGCGTCGCCCCTCGGCGGCCGACACAGAGGCGGCTTTGGCCGGGAGCGCCGCCGGGCTGCCTGCCACAGCAGGCAGGGGCTGCGCCTCCGCGCCTCCTGCTGCCTGCGCCTGCCTCGCCGCGTCTGCGGGCTGCCCCGCCGGCGCCGCCGCTGCCGGCCGCTTGACAAGCGGCTGGCTGGGGGCGTAGAAGGAGGAGAGGCGGTAGTCGGCGGCGGGCGGCGGCGGCAGCGGCGGCCTGCTCATCTCTCCGCTGTCACGGCTGGGACGCCCGCTGCAAGCGCTGTCCAGGGAAGGGCGGCGCTGGGCGCTGTCTGTGGAGGGGCGGAGCTGAGCTGGCGCGGTGTCCATGCTGCTGCGCCTGCTGAGGTCGGCGGCGCGCGGCGCGCCGCCGACGCCGCCGCTCAGCGCCGCCAGGCCGGGCAGCGCGCTGCAGCTGCCGGCCAGGGACGCCAACACGGTGCTGCTGCTCACGCTGCTGCCCGCGTGGCGGGCGGGCAGCGAGGGGACGGGCGTGTCGGGCGCGTCGGCGCCCTCAGACAGCCGCACGCCGCCGCCGGGCTGCGCCGCCTCGCCGCCCTCCGCCGGCGCCACGCTGCTGTGCACCAGCTGGTGCAGCAGCGCCTCATGGTGCTGCTGCAGCAGCAGGCGCTGCTCCTCGGCGCGGTGGCCGCCGCCGCCGCCGCCGCCGCCGCTGCTGCCGCCGCAGCTGTCTGCGCTGCCTGCGGCGGCGGCCGCGAGCGGGCTCTCCACGCTGCTCAGGCTGCAGGCCAGCGGGCGCTCGCTGCAGGCGCTGGCGCGGCGCGAGGCGGGCGCACTGTCCGCGGCGGCGGCGGCGCCGTCGCCTGGCGCCGCGCCTGGCGCCTGCCCCTCGCCCTCCCACTCCAGCTGCATTGTGAAGTGGAAGGTGGAGCCGCAGCCCTCGCAGCTCTCCACCCACACATCGCCGCCCATCAGCTCCGCCA